GAAATTGAAGAAGATCTCAGAAGATGGAAAGATCTCCTATACTCATGGATTGGCAGGATTAATATAGTAAAAATGGCCATCTTGTCAAAAGCAGTCTACAGATTCAATGCAATCCCCATCAAAAGTCCAAATCATTTCTTCATAAAAATAGAAACAACAATTTGCAAATTCATTTAGAATAACAAAAAACCCAGGATAGCCAGAACTATTTTCAACATTTAAAGAACTTCTGGGGGAATCACCATCCCTGACCTCAAACTGTACTAGAGCAATAGTGATAAAAACTGCATGGTATTGATACAGAGACAGGCAGGAAGATCATTGGAACAGAATTGAAGACCCAGAAATGAACCCACACACCTATGGTCACTTGATCTTTGACAAAGTAGCTAAAATGGTCCAGTGCAAAAAGGACAGCATTTTCAACAAATGGTGCTGGTTCAACTGGAGTTCAGCATGTAGAAGAATGCAAATTGATCCATTCTTATCTCCTTGTACAAAGCTCAAGTCCAAGTGGATAAAGAACCTTCACAACAAACCAGATACACTGAAACTAACAGAAGAGAAGGTGGGGAAGACCCTGGAATACCTAGGCACAGGGAAAAAGTTGTTGAACAGAACACCAATGGCTTATGCTCTAAGATCAAGAGTTAACAAATGGGACCTCATAAAATTGCAAAGCTTCTGCAAGGCAAAGGACACTGTCAATAGAACAAAACAGCAACCAACAGATTGGGAAAAGATCTACATCCAATAGAGGGCTAATATCCAATATATACAAAGAACTCAAGAATTTAGACTCCAGACAACCAAATAACCCTATTAGAAAATGGGGTAGAGAGCTAAACAAAGAATTCTCAACTGAGGAAACTCGAATGGCCGAGAAGCACCTAAAGAAGTATTCAATATCCTTAGTCATCAGGGAAATGCAAATCAAAACAACCCTGAGATTCCACCTCACACCAGTCAGAATGGCTAAGATCAAAAAACTCAGGTGATAGCAGATACTGGTGAGGATGTGGAGAAAGAGGAACACTCTTCTATTGTTGGTGGGATTGCAAGCTGGTACAACCACTCTGGAAATCAGTCTGGTGGTTCCTCAGAAAATTGGACATAGCATTACCTGAGGACCCAGCTGTACCACTCCTGGGCATATACTCTGAAGATACTCCAACATATAACAAGGACATATGATCCACTGTGTTCATAACAGCCTTATTTATAGTAGCTGGAAACTGGAAACAACCCAGATGTCCTTCAGCAGAGGAATGGATACAGAAAATGTGGTACATTTACACATTGAAATATTACTCGGCTATTAAAAACAATGAATTTGAAAAATTCTTAGGCAAATGGATGGAACTAGAAAATATCATCCTGAGTGAGGTAACCCAATCACAAAAGAACACACATGGTATGCACTCATTTATAATTGAATATTAGCCCAAAAGCTCGCAATATCCAAGAGACAACTCACAGACCACATGAAGCTCATGAACAAGGAAGACCGAAGTTTGGGTGCTTTGGTCCTTCTTAGAAGGGGTAACAAAATACTCATGGGAACAAATATGGAGATAAAGCGTGGGACAGAAATTGAAGGAGGCGCAGTCCAGAGACCTCTCCACCTGGTTGTTCATCTTTTGTGCAGTCACCAAAGACGGTCACTGATGGCTGATGTGAATGCCAGGAAGTGCATGATATAGCTGTCTCCTTAGAGGTCTGCCAGAGCCTGAAATATACAGAGGTGGATGCTCACAGCTAACCATTGAACTGATCATGGGATTCCCAGTGGAGGAGTGAGAGAGAAGACTGTAGGAACAGAAAGGGTTTGAGGCCCCACGAGGAGAGCAACAATACCAATGAACCAGAGTTCCCAGGGTCGAAAACACTAGCCTCGGAGCACTTAGGGAGGACCTATGGCCCCAAGCTGTGTATGTAGGGGAGTATTTCATTTCGTGGCATAGGTGGGAGAGGAAGTCCTTGGTCCAGTGAACTCTGGACGCCCCAGTGTGGGGGAATTCGTAGTTGGGGAGGTCGGAGTGGTTCTGTGGGTGAGTGGGGGCACATCCTCATAGAACCAAGAGGAGAGGGGATGAGATAGGGGGTTCCTGGGTGTTTGAGAAAATGTGGAAAGGGGATCACATCTGTAATGTAAATAGAATATCCAATTGAAAAAAAAAACAGAAACCAAAAACCAAAAAAATAGATAAACTAAACTTTCGAATGGCTAAGAAAGAATAAAAAATAAAAGTTAGCTTTTAGGACATTACCCTCCTTGCCTACAGAGAACACAGTGGGAGAAGGAAACGTTGGCTTTAGCTCTTGGTAAATATATTGTAAGCTCAGTGAGACCTCTCATCTTTTCTCTTAATTCCTTGTGTTTTAGTGTTTCTGTGTGGGCAGCTTCTGACCACATGAAAGCATTCAATATTTCTGCCTCCTACATAAATATTTTCAAGGATATCTTATGTAAATATTGGTATATCAAAATATACATTGGATATGGTCATTGGCTGTGTTTGGATTATAAATTTTAGAACATTATAACTCGTATGCAATAATAAATGGCTTTACTTGTGGAAAAAAAGAATAAGAAGATTAATTTTTACTGACATCCTAAGACTTAAATATATTTAAGTGTGTCTGTGGTTTCAACTTATTGAAATATTAATAAGTGGCCATTGATAGCATTAAGAAATTATTAGAATTGAAACAAAGGAATATAAATCTATTTATGATATAACTCAGGAGGAATGTGTAAAACAAAATGTTGCACATACAGAATTCAAAGTACCTTTTTTTTTTTTTAAAGGGCAACTGCACTGTTAAATTCCTCTGAGGACCAACATACTTACAATGTTACAGTAAGAAACTGGGGCAGATTGTTATGGTAAGGCTGTTTTTTTTCATTAATTCTGTGAATCTATATCTTGGGGAAAATCTTGTCCCTACAGATGTGAAGACTAGTATCCAGAACACTGGGATACCTTATTCCAAGTGTCAGAATGTGTTAAACTTTCTGTGCTTTTAAAAAGTAGCCTGAGTATGCCTTGTGAAGTGACTGTAGGAGCCTATGTCTGATGGACTGGATGGAGGACCAGTTCTCTAATAGAAGCCTACTTAACTAGTTGGAGAAATGGGTTTATTCGGATTGGCTATATATTTAAGCTGAGAATAAATATTATGGTCTAGGAGCTCCTTTGATATAGTACCAGTGTCCAGAGGTTCAGGACAGTGGAGCTAGGCTTCCCTTAGATTCTCTAAGTCTTCTGACTGGGAAAGACAGGCAGACAGTTGCTTTAGGGGGTCAAGGGTATACTCCCTACATAGAGCACAGATGGCTAAGGAGAGGGTTTGTGACTCACGTGATGTCTTAGATGTAGGGTTGCCCTAAATTTGAATGGTCTAGTTTGAAGTACATTAAATTGAAGGTTGGTACTTTTGGGTCAGTCTTTACATCTCCTAAAGAGCTGCACATGGAGGCATGAGGTAGCCAGTTCTTCCTGTCCCCAGTATAACTTAGGCAAGTCCATTCATGGGGATTTTGCTGGTTGCCTATTAAGTTTTTAAAACTGTTATATTTTAGAAGTTGGTAGAATTAGCTCTGTTAATTTCAGGGTTTTGTTAAAGCAGAGTAAGAATAAGAAACTAGCATTTCATCTTCTTAGGTTTGATATTTCATATAGACTAAATATCTCTGAAGAAAATTTTAGCTTCTATAGAAAATTGGCCGTCTTTTTTCTTTAAAAAAAAGATCTATCATTTTTATTTCATGTGTGTATATGTATGTATGTATGTATGTATGTATGTATGTATGTATGCATTTATGTGAAATACGTGTGTCTGATGCCCAGAGGTGCCAGAAAGGGTTTGAAGCCCTTGTAACCTGAGTTAGTTAACAGATGGTCCTGAGTGTGGGTGCTAGGCACTGATGTGGGTCGTCTCTAACAGCCACTCTGCATCTCTACAGCCCCCATTTGGTTTTATTTTGAAATATCTTGAACACAGAGGCTTATGGTACACAATAAGCTATAGTGATGAATAGCCACCACTCGTGTAATCTGTTAATATTCTGTCAGTTTGCTTCAGGTTTCCATTTCAAAGACAAAGCTGTAATGCTGATGTCCCCATCCTCCTTTTCCTTACTCTTTTCTTCCTAAATGTTTCTGAAAATTTCCATTTAAAGAAATATGTATTTACCTATTTATAAATGGTCTAACTATATCAAAGGATAGCCTTCTTTAAAATTTTATCTTTTGTATTTTTCATCTTTATAAAACTAATATTTGAAGCAAAGGTTGCCTGGATTTTTAAGTTCCATTTATAGCTTCAAAGATTAAAATTTCACTTTTGGATTATATGATAAATACCAGAAGAGTCTCAGAAATATTACTTTTGATAACCGTTGGAGTTGGAGAGTCGGCTCAGCAATGTAGAGTGCTTGCTGCTCCTCCAGAGGACCTGAGTTGCTTTCTAGCACCTATGTGAGGCACCTTGCAACCACCTGTAACTTAAGCTTCTAGGGATCGGATGCCCTCTTTGGCCTACATGCATGTGACATAGACTCACACAGATACACATATACATAAAAGAAAGTTATCTTTAGTTGATGGCAGAGGACCTTCTGTGACTTCATGGAACATAAACAGCCAGCTGTTTCACTATTATGATCCCTAATGCATGTTAGGTTTTCTGACTATATATTGAAACACAGAACGATAAGTTATTTTTTGGAATTTCATTGTTTCAATATGCCATCCAAAGGATGGGTGTATGGGTGAATAGTTTACAGGAAGGTTAGGTTTTCACTCTTGACTAAATATTTATTACTTACTGAAGAATCTAGATCCATACTCTTAGGATAATATTTAACTAACATAGTAAGCGTAAAAATTAGATTTATTTTTAAAAATTAAAAGCCAACCTGAAATTGTTCTTACAGTGGGATTTAAGTAATGTTTGTTAAGAAAAAAAGAAAGCATTTAAGAGAGTAGCTTGAGTTTTGCAGAGCCATTCATTTCACATATAATTACAAGGAACAGATATGCAGTCAGATCCACTCTCTACCTATGTGTGCCTTCTACTTTGATTCTTTTCAACAACTTGAGCACTAATGTATTTTATTTGCCAAATTACTATAAAAAAAGTCATGTGGATAAATCATTAAATGTAGTTGAGTGAATAAGTCTGTATACTTTTGTAAAACCAAAATTAACATTTTTATCTTAAAAGTCATTTGTGCTTCCTTGTCAGCTCCATTGGTGACTGTGACAAAGCCATCCAGGCCTTTAAGTCAACCCCCCTTGCGGAGCTAGAGGACGTTATAGGGTTTGCACTTGCGTTGTTTATGAAGGGCCTGTATAAGGAAAGCAGCATAGGCAAGTATTCTTGTCACTTGAAGCTTTTTCAGAGAAAACGATACTGGGATTGTAGTAGGGTTGCGGGATTTTAGTTAAAAATTTAAAAATTTATATGTATAGATTCATATATGGTTGTTGATGATTGTGTGCCTAATGTCCTTGGAGGCCAGAAGAGAGCAACTTGTGTTATAGACAGTTGTGAGCTGGGAATTGAACTTTGATCCTCTGGAAGAATAGCCAATGCTCTTAACTGCTAAGCCAGATCTTTAGCTCTGGGGTTGCATTGTTTACTAAAATCTGACTCGGAGTCAGGAGCCATAAAAAGCATTGCTCCTACGTCATCTCATCAGTGTGGGATGATGATGAATAGTCCTAATGAACAATTTAAACTGGACATCCACTGGACATTTGAGGAGACTGAGGCACGGGTCTTTATGGCTGATATGTATGCTAGCATTTGAAAACAGATACTATTCTATACTGCTTAAATAAATTTTTTTTTGTTTTTTTGTTTTTGTTTTTCAAGACAGGATTTCTCTGTGTAGCCTGGGCTGTCCTGGAACTCACTCTGTAGACCAGACTGGCCTTGAACTCAGAAATAAATCCGCCTGCCTCTGCCTCCCAAGTACTAAGATTAAAGGCATGCGCCACCACTGCCCGGCTGAAATTTTTTGATAAGCAAAAGCTTCAGCTTTTGTTAGTAATATAGTCTTATTTCTCCAAAAATTTTAACTTAGGAAATTTTGATACATATGGGCTCTGCCACCATGTATAAAGTGTACTTAAATATTAACTGGTTATTGAATGTGATAATCTGTGCTAGGAATGTGATCAGACATTCATGTGTCCAAGTCTCCCTTTCTACCTAAGGTGACTAAAACCTCAAAGTATATTCTGTAGGCAGAAGGTGGGGATTGTCACCTAACAAACATAAAGGTGTCCTCAGAGTTACTTTGGAATAGCCAAACCATGGTAGGTTTTATTCTGTCAGCTTGAAAACAAGAGAACAAGGAAGAAGGAATTTCTATTAGATCTGTTTTGAAAAGTGAGATTAGGAAGGGGAAAATGCTGTGTTTTGTTTGTTAGAATTGCTTTTATAATTTTGCTTCTTGTCCTTTTCTCTGTCAGCCTATGAGAAAGCCTTGGCTGTTTGTAAATCAGAGCAAGACAAAGCGCACATCTTGACAGCTATGGCAATAACAGAATATAAACAAGGGAAAATGGATGCAGCCAAGTCATTACTCTTCAAATGGTATGTATAGCTGGCTTTAACACTTACTAGTCAGATCCTTAAAGTCTTTGAGATAAGATTTAAACAATGTAAAATAAGTTTTAAATGTTTTAAAAACTTTTAGATACACGGAAGGAATTGGATTTGCCTTGTTCTAAATTGACAGTCATGGGTGGAGTTAAATATCATGGCTTAATTTATAACTTTGTATCTGTTTAATATTGCTTATTTATTTTTAAGACTAATTGACTACATGAACCATAAATCTTTAGTAAAAGGAATCACGAGCTGACTCTTTGTTCGGTTGCCAAGATCCTCAAAGAGGCTTTCTTCCCTCCTCCCTTCCTCTTCAAGTTAATCTGAAATTTAAAAAACAAAAGGTTAATTTAAAGTGTCTTTAAAGATACCTGTAGAACTAACTTATACTTCTGGTTCCAGCACAAGTTAGAATGAGAACCTGTGATAATGGAGTTCTTGATACAGTACTTGTTGAGTTCTTGAAGCTTGTTTGTTTTGTTTTAGAAAGTTGGCAAGAAAGGAGCAGTAGATAGTTGATACAGGCTATTGGAAAGTGCTTACCAGTGAGGTTTGCTGGTCTTTTGAGTGGTACAAATCCTCATAGGACAGAAGGCCCCTGTTCATGTCAGGAAGCTTCTAGTTCCACTGCCACACATAGAAGCTCTGGTCAGTTTCTGTGGCAAGGAACACATTGCCTCAATAGCTGTCCCTCAGTCCCCAAGGGAGGAACATGTGTTACACTGGAATTCTCTTCCCTGGCCTGCAGTATTCTTGACTGTATGTTGTGCCATGATGTGAAGAACCCTTGGAACCTGTATACACAAAAATGGAGAGGTTTCTGACCCTCTAAGCACTGAAGGAAACTGATAAGACCTTCTGAAAATGGCTTCCAGTTACAACTTGGTGTGGCTGTGCTGGGAAGGGCCGAGAACCCATTCTTCAGTGCCAGCCCTAGTGAGCCCTGGGTCTCCTTTCTTCTTAAACTAGAACCATGCAAGGTCAGATTCTGTTCTCAGGAGATGCGGGAACTTCCTCAGTCTCTCAGCTGTACCTCCTTTGTCAGGGAGAGCCTCCTGCTACCTGCCACTCACCAGACCTGTGGTGTACTAAGACCTGATGCTTCTGGTGTTTGTGGTCCCTGCCACTGCTGTGGCACTGCAGTCCTTTCCTGACACTTTGCCCTTTCACAGAGCATCTGCCCCTCCTTTGTTCAATCTGGGGAGCAAAGCAGACTGCTGGAGTCTCTGATCTATGTCTTCTGATCTTCCTTTAATTAAATGACTAAAACTAAACATTTTTGTAAAATTGTTCTCAGTATTTACTAATGCTGAGACATAACGACGTGAAATGAGATTTGTCAGTATATGCTGGGAAAGACCATTGTTATTTTGCTCCAGTCAGATAATTATTATATTTAAATGTAAAGAATTCTTTTTATATTAAGCACAAAATTGGCTTATTTTAATGAATTTTAAGTAAATAGCTTTTTGTATTAAGTAAAACCTCTTGATAGATATTAGACTACTGCACAAATGGCTAACAGACTACTAAATATTTATTTATAGCTCTATTTTAAAGGAACCAACTGCAGAAAGTCTTCAAGCACTATGTGCTCTAGGGTTGGCAATGCAGGATGCCACACTGTCAAAAGCAGCATTGAATGAGTTACTCAAACATATCAAACACAAGAACGATTATCACAGGTGTCTTCTGACGGCAGCAGTTTATGCACTCCAGGGTCACAGTGTGGCAGTGCAAAGACAAGCAGCCAAGGCTGTGCACAGGTGGGTCTGCATTTGGGGACTAACTGTACTTTATGTCACTGTTTTCAACTTTTAGGCTTTATTATGGTGATAGAGTGAAATATGCATCTTGTTTTGAAAATCAAAATAACTGCTTGTTATTTTGGTCAGTTGAAGAATTTTTCTTTTTTCTTTTCTTTTTTTTTCTTTTTCTTTTTTTCTTTTTTCTTTTTTTGGGGGGAAGCCCTACTTATTTTGGTATAAAAGTCTGTAATTCCTAAGTTTGTAATATTGTCAGTTCATTAACTGATTTATATCAACACATATTGGTAGACTAGGCTGGTCTCTGTGAGTTTGAGGTCAGCCTAGTCGACTGAAAGAGTTCCAGGGCAGCCAAGGCTATTCAGAGAGACCTTGACTCACCAAAACAAAACAAACCAAAACAAATACACAAACAACAATAACAAAAGCCAAAATGATATTTAGCAGGAATTATTTTTTGGGGTTTTTTGTTTGTTTGTTTGTTTGTTTTTGTTTGTTTTTTGTTTGTTTTTGTTTTTTGTTTTTTGAGACAGGGTTTCTCTGTGTAGCCCTGGCTGTCCTGGAACTCACTCTGTAGACCAGGCTGGCCTCGAACTCAGAAATCCGCCTGCCTCTGCCTCCCAAGTGCTGGGATTAAAGGTGTGTGCCACCACTGCCCAGCTGGAATTATTTTTATTTAATATGTTGTAGCTTTAATTTCTTTCTATTTCTTCATTTATTCATATTAATAGCCTTTGCCGATTGGGTATGTTTATTTTTGAGGCGGGTGAGTGGGGTACACACAAGTAGCATGTACTTGTGAGAATGGGAGGACAATTTGCAGGGTTCACTTCTCTCCTATCTCATGTGGTTAACCATATGGTTCCCATATGGTTAAGGGTTTCATACATCAAAGGTTTCCAACCTATGGCTCAAACCTCTGTCTTCAAAAATATTTAAATTACTACTCATAACAACACGAAATTTACAGTAATTTAAAGTAGCAACAAAATAATTTTCTTATTGGGGGTCACTGCACCATGAGGAATTGTATGGCAGGGTTACAGCATTAGAAAGGCTGAGAGCCTCAATCACAGGCCAGGTTAAGTGCCTTAACCCACTGAGCCATCTCTCTGGCTGGACTAAACAACTTAACATGAGTGTCTTCCTTATGAACTATTTCCCTTAGAGTTCCATCCTCCTGCTGTGTAATGGAGTTCATCCTATGCCTTTAAAGTTCTTTGTAGTTCTTCTGAACACACATGTTATGATTCCTGTTTTTATTTTGTCTCATAATTTTGTCACCATGATTCTGTTTTCCTTCATGTTTTAAGAACATAAGAACTCTTAGTGTATAGAAAACAGTATAGTTTGTTTTCTAAAGCTTAAGATATTTTCAGTTAAATATGGGCAATTAATAAGAACTTGCTTAGGTGTCTGAACACTTTAAACTTAAATATTTGCTGTGCTTTTTGTAGTTAAAGTAAGTCCCATCTTTAAGGCAAGAATTTTTATGTTCCCTCTAGTAACCCCGCTGACCCTGCTCTTTGGTCTTTGCTATCTCGAATCGTTGCTCAGTACACCCAGCGGAGTGCAAAGGTGAGTAGTACTGCCGAAAATGCTGACAAGTAGCCAGGGGTGTGTTAAATATATATGCATATATATGTTGTTACACATGTATGTATATTTATACATATATACAGAGAGAGGGAGAGGGGGAGGGGGAGGGGGAGGGGGAGGGAGAGGGAGAGGGAGGGAGAGAGAGAGAGAGAGAGAGAGAGAGAGAGAGAGAGAGAAAATGCTTCTCTTGTAACTCTGGCTGGCCTAGAATTTCCTATGTTGACTAGGCTGAGTTCAGACTTACAGAGTCTGCCTACCTTTCTTTTTTGAGTGCTGGAATCAACAGCATCAGCCATCACACCCACCTTAAATGTATTTTTATAATACAGCATTTTTCTTTCTTTTTTTTTTCTTTAAAAAGATTTATTTATTTTATTTATATGAATATACTGTTGCTGTGTTCAGACACACCAGAAGAGGGCATCAAATCCAATTACACTGTGAGCTACCATGTGGTTGCTGGTAGTTGAACTCAGGACCTCTGGAAGAGCAGTTGGTGCTCTTAACCACTGAGCCATCTCTCCAGCCGCCAAGCATTTCTCTTAAAACATAAGTACAATGAAGATATCATCATTTAACCAATGATTTACACAGATAATAGCCTGAGTACCCTCCATGTACTTACAAACTGTTGTGAATATTATGAACACTACAAAGTAGGAGTGACATCTTCCTGCTTTGTAGTGGAGTTCCTCCTATGCCTTTAAAGTTCTTTGCCTAAAAGTGTTCTGAAAATACACAGATTATTGCAATGCCTACATGAATAAACAACATGCATAACAAATAAGCATTAGGGATTGTATTTTTAAATTCTAAAAGATGGATTTTATTTAAAAACTAAAGATGAGATAATAATACAAACATTGCTAATATCTAAAAGTCTCAATATAAGCATGAAATCACTGGCATTTTTGTAAGAAATTATGTACTGTATTTTAGTCATAATTTTAAGATATCTATATTTTATTAGTTTCTGCTATTAATATTTCCTTTCTTTTTTTCATTTCAGTAGCTAATTTGTTTTGTGTTTAGTAATAATGTTGATACTTAGTGTCTTTGTAGATGTGTTTCTGTTGTCCATTGTTCTGATCTTTACTCAAGGTGGCTTTATGTCTTTTACAGAAGGTATTCTCTGAAACATTATTTGCAGATATAATCTGAACCTCAGGATTAAAATAGCTTCAAATGAAAGAGTTTGTGTTTGTTTCTGTGAGATGTGTTACAGTCACATTTTTAATTGGGGCTCTGTGTTAACCAGGTTATTCTCTGCCTGGGTCTCATCATCCTGGAGTGGTTCATCCTGAGGCTTCCTATATACACCTTCCTTGTGTGAGTTCTAGACTTGACCCAGTGGCAGATGAGCCTCAGTATTGGGATCTGCAAACGTCTAGATTCTGCCCTTTAACTTTCAGTTTGAGCTTGATATATCCTTAATAGCTTGATTCAGTACTTTTAGGAATATGTTCTAAAATATTTTATCCCAGTGCTTCTCAGACATTCACAGGCTTTATGTTGGCATCACCTAGTAGTATTAAATACAGGTTGTAATTTATCAAGGCTGAGACAGTCTATGTTTCTTAGAGCTGCCCAGGCGATGCCCATGCTTCTGATTCACAGACCATTCGGGCAGTGGGCATTTAGCTATTTTGATAGGATGCGTTGAACACTGAGTGAACTGCTCATTGTGCTAGAATCACTCTGGTGGTACACTTGGGTGTGTATGTTAAACAGTAGTATAAACTTTCTGTAGTGACTATTCACTTTCGAGAGAGAGAAGCTTGAGGTTAAGCAACTTGTGCAAAATCATGGTTGCTGTTGGTTTTCAATCCACTCTAACTCTGGAATCTCCACACTCTGCTATGCTGACTTTTTCTTAATCCTACTTTGTTTCATATTCACATACCTCTAAAGCTTTATTTCAGCATTCTGTATGTGAAGCCCAGCGCACATGTGATATAGAAATCTAAGGTGTAAAATACATGTGATGAAACAAATCTTAATATCTGGCAAAATCGTCATTCTAATTCACTATCTTTTTTTCTTTTTTTTTTAGGTAAAGTGTTCAATAGTTGAATTAAAAAAATTGTTTTTCTTTTCTTTGTTTCTTTTTTTATTGGATGTTTTATTTACATTGCATATGTTGTCCCCTTACCCCATCCCCCACCCACCCAGGGACCCCTATCTCCTCACCCCTCCTCCTTCTTCTCTGCGGATGTAACCCCTGCCTACCCCCGCACTCCCACCTCCCCACCCTCAAAATTCCCACCCCATGGGGCGTCCAGCCTTCAGGAAGTCAAGGATCTTCCACCTATGCCCAGCAGGGCCCTCCACTCTTACTTATTCAGCTGAAGCCCTGGATCCCTCCCTAACTGCTCCAAGGCTGGTGGTTTAGACCCTGGGAGCTCTGGTTGGTTGGTATTGTTGCTCTCCTCATGGGGCCCCAAACCCTTTCAGCTCCTTCAGTCTTCACTCTAACTCCTCCATTGGGAACCCCATTATCAGTTCAATGGCTAGTTGTGAGCATCTGCCTCTGAATATGTCAGACTCTTGAAGACCTCTGAGGAGACATCTATATCAGGCTCTTATCAGCATGCACTTCCTGACTTCCACATCAGCATCTACCTTTGGAGACTGCACATGGGATGGATACTCAGGTGGAATGGTCTTCAGACGGCCCCTCCTTCAGTTTCTGTCCCTCACTTTGTCTCCATATTTGCTCCCTTGAGTATTTTGTTGCTCCTTCTAAGAAGGACCGAGTCACCCCCACTTGGTCTTCCTTCTTCATGAGCTTCATGTGGCCTGTGAGTTGCATCTTGGGCATTTCAAGGTTCTGGGCTAATATCCAATAATCAGTGAGTGAATACCATGTGTGTTCTTTTGTGATTGGCTTACTTCACTCAGGATGATAATTTCTAGTTCCATCCATTTACCTAGGAACCTCTCGAATTCATTGTTTTTAATAGCTGAGTAACACTCCATTGTGTAAATATACCACATTTTTTGAATCCATTACTCAGTTGAAGGACACCTGAGTTCTTTCCAGCTTCTGGCTATTATGAATAAGGCTGCTATGAACATAGTTGAGCATATGTCCTTGTTATATGTTCGAGCATCTTCTGGGTATATGCCTAGGAGTGGTATAGCTGGATCCTCAGGTAATGCTATGTCCAATTTTCTGAGGAACCGCCAGACTGATTTCCAAAGTGGTTGCATCATCTTGCAGTCCCACCAACAATGGAGGAGTGTTCCTCTTTCTCCACACCCTTGCCAGCATCTACTATCACCTGAGTTTTTAATCTTAGCCATTCTGACTGGTGTGAGATGGAATCTCAGGGTTGTTTTGATTTGCATTTCCCTGACGACTAAGGATACTGAACATTTCTTTAGGTGCTTCTCAGCCATTTGAGTTTCCTCAGTTGAAAATTCTTTGTTAAGCTCTATACCCCATTTTTTAATAGGTTTATTTGGTTGTCTGGAGTCTTAATTTCTTGAGTTCTTTGTATACATTGGATATTAGCCCTCTGTCAGATGTAGGATTGGTAAAGATCTTTTCCCAATTTGTTGGTTGTCGTTTTGTCCTATTGACAGTGTCCTTTGCCTTACAGAAACTTTGCAATTTTATGAAGTCCCATTTGTCAATTCTTGATCTTAGAGCATATGCCATTGGTGTTCTGTTCAGGAACTTTTCCCCTGTGCCCACGTATTCGAGGTTCTTCCCCACCTTCTCTCCTATTAGTTTCAGTGTATCTGGTTTTATGTGGAGGTCCTTTATCCACTTAGACTCGAGCTTTGTAAAGGAGATAAAAATGGATCAATTTTCATTCTTCTACATGTTGTCCTCCAGTTGAACCAGCACCATTTGTTGAAAATGCTGTCCTTTTTCCACTGGATAGTTTTAGCTCCTTTGTCAAAGATCAAGTGACCATAGGTATGTGGGTTCATTTCTGTGTCTTCAGTTCTATTCCATTGATCTTCCTGCCTGACTCTGTACCAATACCAGGTAGTTTTTATCACTATTGCTCTGTAGTACAGCTTGAAGTCAGGGATGGTGATTCCTCCAGAAGTTCTTTTATTTTTGAGAATAGTTTTCGATATCCTGGGTTTTTTGTTATTCCATATGAATTTGAGAATTTCCTTTTCTAACTCTGTGAAGAATTGAGTTGGGATTTTAATGGGAATTGCATTGAATCTGTAGATTGCTTTTGGCAAGATGGCCATTTTTATTATATTAATCCTGCCAATCCATGAGCATGGGAGATCTTTCCATCTTCTGATATCTTCTTCGATTTCTTTCTTCAGGGACTTGAAGTTCTTGTCATACAAGTCTTTCACTTGCTTGGTTAGATTCACACCAAGGTGTTTTATATTATTTGCAACTATTGTGAAAGGTGTCATTTCCCTAATTTCTTTTTCAGTCTGTTTATCTTTCATGTAGAGGAAGGCTACTGATTTGTTTGAGTTGATTTTATAACCAGCCACTTTGCTGAAGTTGTTTATCAGGTTTAGGAATTCTCTGGTGGAAGTTTTGGGGTCACTTAAGTATACTATCATATCATCTGCAAATAGTGATATTTTGACTTCTTCCTTTTCTATTTGTATCCCTTTGACTTCTTTTTGTTGTCTAATTGCTCTGGCTAGGACTTCCAGTAGTATGTTGAATAGGTAGGGGGAGAGTGGGCAGCCATGTCTAGTCCCTGATTTTAGTGGGATTGCTTCAAGTTTCTCTCCATTTAGTTTGAGGTTGGCTACTGGTTTGCTGTAAATTGCTTTTACTATGTTTAGGTAGGGGCCTTGAATTCCTGATCTTTCCAAGACTTTTATCATGAAGGGATGTTGAATTTTGTCAAATGCTTTCTCAGCATCTAGTGAGATGATCATGTGGTTTTTTTCTTTAAGTTTGTTTATATAGTGGATTACATTGATGGATTTCTGAATATTGATCCATCCATGCCTTCCTGGGATAAAACCTACTTGATCGTGATGGATGATTGTTTTGATGTGTTCTTGGATTCGGTTGGCTAGAATTTTATTGAGTATTTTTGCATTGACATTCATAAGGGAGATTGGTCTGAAGTTCTCTTTCTTTGTTGGGTCTTTGTGGGGTTTGGGTATGAGTGTAACTGTAGCTTCATAGAACGAATTGGGTAGTGTTCCTTCTGTTTTTATTTTGTGGAATAGTTTGAAGAGAATTGATATTAGGTGTTTGTTGAAGGTCTGATAGTATTCAGCACTAAAACCATCTGGTCCTGGGCTTTTTTTAGTGGGGAGACTTTTAATGACTGTTGCTATTTCCTTAGGGGTTATGAGACTATTTAGATGGTTTTTCTGCTCCTGGTTTAACTTTGGTACCTGGTATCTGTCTAGGAAGTTGTCCATTTCATCCAGGTTTTCCAGTTTTGTTGAGTATGGGCGTTTGTAGTAGGATCTGATGAATTTTTGAATTTCTTCAGTTTCTGTTGTTATGTCTCCCTTTTCAGTTCTGATTTTATTAATTTGGATACTGTCTCTGTGCCCTCTGGTTAATCTGGGTAACAGTTTATCTATCTTGTTGATTTTCTCAAAGAATCAGCTCCTGGTTTTATTGATATTTTGTATTGTTCTTTCTGTTTCCATTTGGTGTGTCCTGAATGTCCTTGGCTCCCGGATGTATCTCTGGGGCTTAGGGAGTGAGATGGAGTTCTTACCGGCTGCTCTGAGTGCAGTGGCTCCTCTAGGATGGCTGAGGATTCAGTATTTCCACAGGAGCAGACCAACTCTGTGTCTGCCCCAGCCCAAAGGGAATTTAAAATTTTTAGGTTTTTTTTTTTTTGTAGTTGATTTGCTTATTGAAACAGTAAGAAGCTTTCTCACATAGGAGCATTTAGTATTAGGGACTATAGAGGTTTGAAGAATCCTGTTTTCTTTCATTGTTTTTAATGATTGAAAAGGAAGTCAGAACAGGAACTCAAGCAGTGAAGGAACCTGGAGGCAGGAGCTGGTGCAGAGGTCAAGGAGAGGTGCTCTTTACTGTCTTGCTCCTTGTGGCTTGATCAGCCTGCTTTCTTACAGAAGCCAGAATCACTAGCCCTAGGGTGGGACTACCCATAGTGGGCTGGCTGGGCCCTCCCCCAACCCTCAATATAAGTCCAATAACTCTCTGGATGTTTTAAGTTTGCATACTGAGATTATGAATCTAAAGAATGCTGCTGCACTGAGCTTTGATGCTGCTGATATTGCTGGTTAAATTATTCATGGCCTGAGGTCAGTATTTCATTCTTTGTCAAGTTTCAAGAATGACATATATAGCTTGATCATGCTAGCTCTTTTTTGTCCTGGGAATACTTTTATTCTTGACTATCGTGTTAAAGCTTGCCTCTAACAATATCAACATGTTGTCAGCCAAAGTACATTGCTTGAAACTAAAATTAGACTCCTAGACAGAGTTATTAATTAAACAGGCTGGCAAGCCAAGGACCAGTAAGTTTCTGCACAGAGCCTTACCAATCTAAGACAGAAGTGCATTGCTCTTGATAATGCATATTCCACGACAGGTAAGGAAGGTGTTCTTGTCAGAATGACCGAAGACAGGCGCAGTCTTATTTATGAAATAAAAAAGGGGGAGATCTGGAGAATTTTGGGGGCCTCTTGGCAGGAATCTGATATTGGCCAAGGACAAGGAAATGGGCCGCTTGGCAGGAATCTAATTTTAGGCTAGAACAAGGAAGTAATTTCAGGCAGGATTCTAATTCTTAGGCTAGAACAAAGAAGTAGGCTTCAGACATGAAAATGACTTTGGACTAGGACAGGGAAGTAGGCTCAGATATTTTGGTCATCCTGATAAGCCCTTAGAAATAGTGATCACAGGAGTGATCATGGGACTTTGTTTATTGCTTTGCTTGTTCCTTGACTATTTGTGTTTTTGTACTGCTTGATCTTATTACTTGCATGTAATTAAAATGGTATAAAATCAGAATGGGAAAAAATAAACCCGCCTCAGCCTTCAGCCTCAGAACTGGCAAGGGTCATGCAGAAAGAAGGAAGGGAGGAAGGAAGGAAGGAAGGAAGGAAGGAAGGAAGGAAGGAAGGAAGGAAGGAAAGATGGACAGAGGGAGGGAGGGAGGGAAGGAGGAAGGGAGGGAGGGAAGGAAAAGGAAGGAAAGAGGCTTGCTTGTGGCCTGATCTTATGGTAGCATTTTCTCCCTTGAGGCTCCCTCCTCCCAGATGACTCTAGCTTGTGTCGGGTTGACATAAAACCAGCCAGCACATACTCCTTCAATTTTGATTACATTTCTGTGCACTCATACACCACAAAAATGTGAAAATGCAATGACAGAGTGAAAACTGTAAAACAGTTAGCTTTTTGGTCTTCTTCCTGCTCATGGGTCCTTGTCCTGTATTCTGTCCTCTCTCAGGTCTCATAGCATCCAGCTTTGCCCTTCTATGTGGTCTACTGTACACACATGCATATTTGCTTACATACACATGTGTATACATGGCAGGCTAGGATCCACATACACGGGAGAACATGTTTTTTCTTTCTTTCTAAGATTTATCACATTTTTATTATCAGTTTGTCTGTTGATTTACAGCTAGGTATTTTCCAGGAGTGATCTGTGCTGGTTTGTGTTTGCTACTCTCCATCTCCCTTTCTGCCATTCTTTCTTTCAGCATGTTTATGTTGTTAGGCAGCTCATACATTTACTTGGTCCCCCTACAAAATCATGTTACTTTTGAACTTCTAGTATTATAATAACAAAAGTGAAAGGATCAAAATAGACAGATTTTCTTTTTAAAGCTCTAATATATTGATATTTACAGAATTTACAAGTATAAATTTGCTGAAAACTGAATTTCTCAAATGATTTGCAGGGAAGATTTTATTAGTCTTGCTGTCTCATGAAAAGCTTTGCATTTGTCTAAATAACATGCTTTGTTGTAGGGAGGTGCTGTAGCTGGCAATGTGGCTCGTATTCTGGATTCGAATCATGGAAAGGTTAGTTTTTACTCTCATACAAGTGAAATATTTAACTTGTTAAATGGTATTAATGAGTCAGAAAATGCTCCTTATTGCTTTAGGGTTTGTATCATACTTGATACAGGCCTTTTACTTTTGAAAAGAGGGATCTATGAAGAGAATTGATGAACATGCCTCCTTGTCTTCTTATGTAGAAGGCATTGTTGTATACTGCAGTGAACCAGTTGGCCATGGGAAACAGTACAGCGGAGGATGAAAAAAGTGCTGCTCTAAAGACCATTCAGAAGGCAGCCTTCCTTTCTCCAGGTGAATATATTACCCTTTGTATTAATCTGGATGTCATCAAATTTTCATTTATAGGTTAAAAGAAGAAAGTTTGTGTTTTCTTTTCTTTCTTTCTTTCTTTTTTTTTTTGGTTTTGTGAGACAGAGTTTCTCTGTGTAGCCCTGGCTGTGACCAGGCTGGCCTCAAATTCAGAAATCCGCCTGCCTCTGCCTCCCAAGTGCTGGGATTAAAGGCATGCACCACCACTGCCCGGCTTTGTGTTTTCATGATATAAAAAAATTGTAAAAATATATTTTATAGTTTTTCATATTACTTGATTATCTGAATGTGACTCTTGTCATTAATTGTATCAATTGTTTAACAAGACTGATGAGAATGTTCTTATAGAGATACTTGATTATCTGTTAAGAAAAATATGAGTGACATTTTCAGGCTATTTTATTTCAATTTTCCGTCAGTCTAGTCTACTACAGTTTATTTATACTGACTATATTCCTTACTATGGTATTTTGTGTGTGATCAGCTCTGGAAGGTTGGGATGCATTCTGTACAGTATTGTTCCTTTTCCTATGTCTATGACAATACATGACAAAACAACTTAAGGACAGAGGGTTTATTTTGGGTCATGATTTGAGAGTCCAAGCAATCTAAACAAGATGGGATAGGCACAGTGGCGGGGAGAAGCCACCATCATGCTCCATTCCAGTCAGGAAGCAGAGAAAGATGAAAATGGCCACTCATCTCTCGCTGTCTTTCTGTTGGACTAGAACACACAATGGCTCTGCCGCATTCAGGATAGATCTTTTCTCAAGAAGATATGTCTGGAGACATCTTCATAGGCACACCCAGGGGAGTGTTTCCATGATGATTCTAAATCCTGTCAAGTTAACCAGGCTGACTGATAGGTTTGGTAACTTAGAAATGTGTAGCCTCACCTTAGCGAGCTATTGTTAATTCTAGCAGGCTGTGCCTTATTTAGGCTGTTGACCAAACAGATAAAGAGAAGTTAAACATTACTGCACCAGTGTGTTTCCATTGTTACTCCTGGAAATGTTAGAGGGTTAGAAGGTCACATTTTGTAGAGTTACAAAGGAGAGTTTTATACTTTTGTTTTACGTATGAAATGTAGTGTCAATCACACAGTTGCCTATCCCAGGTACACACAATCGTACATGCAGCATCCACTCGGCACCATGAGTTTCTTTCATACTTTCCTGGTAGAACATAGGTTCAGTGTTGACTTTTTCCTCTGAGTTTTGCTTTTCTTATGAACCAAAAAACAAAACTAAAACTAAAACCAAAGTCAAAATGTGTTCAGTTGTTTATCCTTAAAAAAGATTTTCAAACAGGAACAGAGTAATAAAAATGAATGTCTCCTTGAAACTTGTCCTCCATAGCTAGTGAGTGTATACACTTGCACTCTCCATATTAGAACAGTAATTTAGGGATTGAGCCAACGAGCCATGAGACAGACAGGAACTTATTCAACTAGTACCTTTATGAGATGTTCAGAAAATTTACAAATCTTGAAGGTTAAATATACTAGTTTGTTTTTGGCAAACAAGTTAGCTTTCATTTAAGGTCATGAAATTTTTTAAAAATATAATTAGCTTTATTGGGAAAGATATAAACTTTTATTTATGATAGTTTTGCAGCAGCATGTTGATATGAACAAGGCTTTTAACTATATTTCTTGTTTAGATGACCCTGCTGTCTGGGCTGGGCTGATGGCAGCCTGCCATGCAGATGATAAACTGGCTTTGGTCAGTAACACTCAGCCAAAGAGGGTAGATTTGTACTTGGCATTGCAGTCTGCTGTTTCTGCTTCACGTAAGTTTTATTTTTATGTATTTACATTTAAGTTTTTTTAACTTCACACAATATATTTTCATTATATTCTTTTCCCTTACCTAAGTCCTTCCAAATTCTCCCTCCCTACTTTCCCACCCAACTTCATGTTCTTTCTCTCTCAAAAAACAAAACAAAGAAAATAAGAAAATAAAATAAAAACAAAAAAGGGGAAAAACACCAAACAACAATAATAAAAAAGAAAAACAAAACAAAACCCATGAAGTCCATTTTGTCTTGGTCAGCTCCTGAGCATGAGGGCTACCTTGGAGAGTGGTTGGTTTAGCCAATGTCACTAGAGAAAACGATTCTTCTCGTACATATCAGTTGCAGAGAGCTTTTTAGTTAGGGATGAGACTTCGTGCCTACTTCTTGTCTGCCCTGTGGTTTTGGTCTGACTTATATTTGTGTTGGTCTTGTGCATGATGTTACAGTCACTGTGAATCCATATTTGTATTAGCCCTATCTTGTTTGGAAGACACTTTTTCTTTATGCCACCTACTGCCTCTAGGTTTTAGAATCTTTTTGTGTCCCCTTCAGCAACTATCTCTGATCCTTGAAGGTAGGGGTTTGATAAGGACATCTCATTAAGAGCTGAGTGCTCCAAGGTCTCTTACTGTCTGTACATTGTCCACTTGTGGGTCTTGAAGTTAAGTACTATCTACTGCAAGAAGAAGCTTCTCTGGTGAGGGTTGAATGACACACACTGATCTATGGATAGAGTGATATCATTAGGAGTCTCTTGCTTGAATTGTACATTTAGCAGAGTAGTAGTAGTAGTAATATATTTTGTTATTAATATAGTATATTAATTGCTGGGGAGGGCCAGCCCCTGCTGTTCTTCTTTTGGGTTCTCTCTTGAAGGTAGCCAAGGGGGCAAGACTTGGTCTTGTGAGATATTTAGGGTTGCCTTGTCTATAATAAAACATTTACCTGTCTTAAGTCTAAGTGACTTTGCCATGCTAGCTCACCTGCCTGAGGCCAGAAACTGCAAGTCCCTTGCATTTAGCACCTCAAAGTAAAGCAGCAAGGGATTAAATAAAAGAATTTATTGCTGGTGCTCCAGTCTTTGGTGAGAAATGGAAGCCTCTCGGGCTAAGGTGGTTAACTCTTTGTGTACCAGAGAGTAAGGAAAGAAAAAGAATTAAGATGGTTTATATAGGCAAATATGCCACAGACATATATACATTCAAACATTCATATACCCAACCGTCTGTCACAATCAACTCCTCAATTATTCATGCATCCTTACATGCATATACATATACCTACATATAGAGAAACAGACACACACATTTGGATAGATGGATAGATGGATGAATGGATGGGGCAGAACTCTCCAAGCCAAACCACTCCACCAACATCTTTTTCTTTTCTCTGCTTTTTATACCTTCTTAGACAAAACGTTCTTTAGAAAATCAGTTACATGGAATGGGAGTTACAAAGGAATATTGATATTAAGTTCAAAGCAGTGTTTCATTCTGTATGGTCATTATAAGTTCAAAGCAACAATTTTTTCATGGCATTGCCTTATCGTAGTGCACACCTGTGACTTCATCCTTGTACCTAAATGTTTTTCCTTGAACACAAAATTGTCCCTTTTTCTCTTTTTAGTGTAATTATGAAAGCTCATTGTATTTCTTATTATGCAGCCTTTACTTACTATTCTGAGGAGTTGATACTTTCTATTTTTGATTCTAACTTTATTATATTTTTCTAGCAACTAAGAAACTTTCTCTAGAAACTTTCTTCCTAAAATTATTTTAATCAAATCAGCAATTCTATGGAATCATCATCTATCTGTCTCGATAGCATCACTATAAGATTGTGTATCTTCATAGGTCTGCAGAAATCTGCTCAAAAGGGTAGGCCAATACCTAGTAATTGTTATATACTTAATAGCAACAGGAAAAACATATTAATAGCAGAAATCTCTCCTCGTATGTAATCTCCTTGGCCTTGCCTAAAAAAGCAAATCCATCACAAATTTTAGTCCATGGTGGAACCATCTCAGGAGGATCCCCTGCTGGCTTTTAGCTTCTCTTAGATGGCTCTTATCAATCAATAGTAGTCTTACCCCAGGACTCACAACATATCTACTCTTGGCTTTACTTATTAATAGTATCAGGTATGGATTCCATTTCTTGGAGTGGGCCTTAAATCCAATTTTTAACAAGTGGTGAGTCACTCCCAAAAGATTTGTTATGCCACTGACAGCAAAATGACAGCAGGGCCCTATTGCTGAAGACACTATTCACTTACATTGTCATCAAACATGGAGAAATGGAGCTGTTGTCCAGCTAGAATGTTTACCTCTACTGGCTAGCACTCACAGTGCTGGGAAGGAAGCACTGTTCATACTACCAGAGGAGGAAAGTGACCATCATTCTCACCCAGCTGCAGACCCTGTAGCCTACAACAGCAAGCAACCTGTAAGATACACTGATGCAGTAGAGATATCTGATGTCAGGGATATCTTCCTCATTACACAGTAACTCCATGTAAATTGCTTTTGTTAGAAGATACACTGATGCAGTAGAGATATCTGATGTCAGGGACATCTTCCTCATTACACAGTAACTCCATGTAAGTTGCTTTTGTTAGGAGTCTTCTAGTGTAGTAGGTTTCCATGTAGCTTTTCAAAACCTTTATAGTGTTAGTTATCCCTGCACATATTCCCTCCTTTACCCTACCTTCCCATTCTCTATTCTGAAGTATAATAAGGTAGAAAAATGGATACCAATTCATTGATTTATTTATGATTTACTTAAAGCACTGTTTGTACTATGTATTTGCCAAGCATGACATAAATTTCCATCTGAAATATCATGGCCTGGAGAAATAGCCGAAACAGTGGATAGTTGCCCTTAACATGGTGGCTGCCATGAATGCTTCTGTAAAATCTTGCTTGTTTGCCCATCCACCCACCTTGTATCTTAGAGGATAAAAGGAGAATTTAAAGTAGATGCAGGCCTCTCAGGAGCTGTCCTGGCTTTGGTCATACCTCCTCTCTTCCACTCTCACTGGTGTGATGATGCTTATTCCAGAATGAGTCCTGCATCATTCCTGTTTCAAGTAACTTGTAAAAAGCATTTGTGTAGATGCTTTAATTCAGTTTCCACCAGTGACTAAATCAAGGACACATACAACGTCAGTATTCATGGTTATAAAAAAATTACAAATTTTATTTTCTTAAACATGATTGGATGACATTGTTGCTATTATTTTTCAGTTAACTGTTACATATTAAATCAAATAAGAATACAGATTCTCTCTGATACTCTTTATGTAACTCTGAGTTTTGATAAATGACTTTTATCACTTACTTCCTGTGTAAAAGAATTTTCATTTCCCATTCTTGCAAGGTAGTTATTTAATTTTTGTTTGAGAAAGTATTTCTTTTTATTTTTTTTGTTTTACTTTTTTAAAAATTTTTTATTCTTTAATCCTTTTTTAAGTCCAGACTTCATCCCCCTCCAAGTTTGCCCCCCCACCACTCCCCATCCTATACCTCTTTTCTTACCCCCACCACTACCCATCTCCAAGAGGATGTCCCAACCTCCACACCCTCCCACCCCCAATCCATCCCACCAGGCCTCCCCACTCCCTGGGGCCTCAAATCTCTCCAGGGTTAGGTGCATCTTCTCTCACAAAGGCCAGACCAGGCAGTCCTCTGCTGTACATCTGTCAGAGGCCTCATATCAGCTGGTATGTGCTGCCTGGTTGATGGCTCAGTGTCTGAGAGATCTCAGGGGTCCAGGTTAGTTGAGACTGCTGGCCTTCCCATGGGGCAGCCTCCTCCTCATCTTCTTCCAGCTTTTCGTTAAGTCAGCTTCTCCCTGGCTTCTGTCCATTAGCTGGGTTCTAGTATCTGCATCTGATTCTTTCAGCTGCTTGTTGGGCCTATCAGAGGGTAGACATGCTAAGCTCCTGTCTGCAAGCACATCATAGCATCAGTAACAATGTCAGAGCCCTGGGCCTCCCCTTGAATGGATCCCAATTTGGGCCTGTCACTGGACCTCCGTTCTCTCATTTTTTTTTTCTCAGTTTTTGTCCTTGCAGATCCTTCAGACAGGAACAATTCTGAGTCAGAGCTTTTGACTGTGGGATAGCACCCACATCCCTCCACTTAATGTCCTATCCTTCCACTGGAGGTAGACTCTACAAGTTCCCCCTCCTCATTGTAAAGCACTTCCTCCAAGGTCCCTCCCTTTCAGTCCTGAGAGTTTCTCACCTCCCAGGTCTTTAGTACATTCTAGAGGGTCCTCCCACCTCCTGCCTCCTGAGGTTGCGTGTTTCCATTCTTTCTGCTGGCCCTCAGGGCTTCAGTCCTGTTCCCCCACTCTATGAAAAACACACACACACACACACACACGCACGCATGCACGCACACACACACACTACCTGATCCTGTTCTTCCCTTCCTCTCACTGTTCCCTCTCCCACCCAGGTCCTTCCCTCTTTCTGCCTCCTGTGATTGCTTTCTTCACCATCTCAAGTGAGATTGAAGTATCCTCACTTGAGCCCTTCAGCTTGTTAACCTTCTTGAGACCTTTGGGTTGTGTCCTGAGTATGCTGTACTATTTTGGCTCATTAGTGAGTACATACCATGCATGTCCTTTTGGATCTGAGTTACCTCACTCAGGAATGATATTTTCTAGTTCCATCCATTTGCCTGAAAAATTCATGATGTCCTCGTTCTTAATAGCTGAGTTCCATTGTGTAAATGAACCACATTTTCTGTATCCATTCTTCCATTGTGGAACATTTGGGTTGTTTCTAGCTTCTGGCTATTATAAATAAGGCCGCTATGAACACACGTGCCCCTGTGGCATGGTGGGGCATCTTTTGGGATATGCCCAAGAGTGGTATAGCTGGGTCTTCAGGTAGATCTATTTTCAATTTTCTGAGGAACTTCCAGATTGATTTTCAGAGTGGTTGTACCAGTTTGCAATCCCACCAGCAATGGAAGAGTGTTCCTCTTTCTTCATGTCCTCGCCAGCATCTGCTGTCACCTGAGTTTTTTGATCTTAGTCATTCTGACTGGTGTGAGGTAGAATCTCAGGGTTGTTTTGCTTTCCATTTCCCTGATGACTAAGGATGTTGAACACTTCTTTAAGTATTTCTCAGCCATTTGAGATTCTTCTGTTATGAATTCTATACCCCATTTTTTTTATTGGGTTGTATGGTATTTGGATGTTAGCTTCTTGAGTTCTTTTTATATATTGGATATTAGCCCTCTATAGTTTGTAGGGTTAGTGAAGATTTTTTTCCTATCTGTAGGTTGTTGATTTGTCCTATTGACTATGTGCCTTGCCTTACAGAAGCTTTCCAGTTTCAAGAGGTCTCATTTATCAATTCTTAATCTTAGAGCCTATTGGAGTTCTGTTTAGGAAACTTCCCCCTGTGCCAATGAATTTGAGGCTCTTTCCCACTTTCTCTTCTATTAGATTGAGTGTATCTGATTTTGTATTGAGGTCCTTGATCCCCTTGGACTTGATCTTTGTTCAAGGTGACTAATATGTATATATTTTCAATTTTCTACATGCAGACAGCCAGTTAGACCAGCACCATTTATTAAAGATGCTCTTTTTTTTCCAATGTATATTTTTGGCTTCTTTGTAAAAAATCAAATGTCTCTAAGTGTGTGGTTTCATTTCTGGGTATTCAGTTCTACTCCATTGCTCAACCTGTCTGTCTTTGTACCATTACCATGCTGTTTTTATTATTGCTCTGTAGTACAGCTTGAGGTCAGGGATGGTAATTCCCCCAGAAGCTTTGTTATTGTAAAGAATTGTTTTCTCTCTTCTGTTTTTGTTTTCCAGATGAATTTGAGAATTGTTTTTTCCATTTTCCATATCTGTGAAGAATTGCATTGGGATTTTGATGGGTTTGCATTGAATCTGTAGATTACTTTTGGTAGGATGGCCATTTTTACTATGATAATCCTACCAGTCCATGAGCATTGGAGATCTCTCCACTATATAAACAAACTCAAAGGAAAAAAAAATCACATTATCATTTCATTAGATTTTGAAAAGGCATTTGACAAAATACAACACCCCTTCATGGTAAAAGTATTGGAGAGATCAAGAATTCAAGGTCCTTATCTAGCATAATAAAAGCAATATACAGTAAACTTACAGCCAATATCAAGTTAAATGGAGAGATACTTGAAGCAATCCCTCTAAAATCAGGGACAAGATAAGGCTACCAACTCTCCCCATATCCATTCAATATAGTACTTGAAGTTCTAGCTAGAGCAGTAAGACAACAAAAGGCAATCAAGGGGATACAAATTGTCAAAGAAGAAGTCAAGATATCACTATTTGCAGATGATATGATAGTATACTTAAGCAACCTGAAAAATTCAACTAGAGAACTTCTTCAGTCGATAAACAACTTCAGCAAAGTGGTAGGATATAAAATTTACTCAAATAAATCAGTAGTCTTTCTTTATACAAATGATTAGTGGGCTGAGAATGACATTAGAGAAACACCCTTCACAGTAGTCACAAATAATATAAAATATCTTGGGGTAACTCTAACCAAACAAGCGAAAGATCTGTATGACAAAAACTTCAAGTCTCTCAAGAAAGAAATAGAAGAAGAAGACTTATTTTATAATTTTTAAAGGATAATTTTTCAGGGTGCAGAATTCTAATCCCTTTCTCCTTTGTTAAATAAAACTTTAAATATTTCAGTGTATTCTCCTTTTCTACAGTTTCTGAAGAGACGTTGGATATTATCTTTCTTTCCCTCTCCAGCTTCTTGGTGGAGTTTTGTCTTATCTTTGATTTTCTAAGGTTTGAAGATAACATAGCTGGATATAGTTTTGGGGTTTTGTTTCTGTTGGGTGTTCATCGTTCTCGGTGTCGTCTGTGCTTCCTGGCTGGTGCTTGTGTCCAGTGTTAACCTGGGGATGTTAAAAGCCATCATGGTTCTAAATCTGTCCCCTTCTCTTGCTTCCTCTGCAACTCCATTAGGTTTACATAGGTCTTTTGTAGTTGTCCCATGGTTCTTGAAAATCCCTTCTATTACATTCATTATGTTTTTCTTTTTGCCTCACTGTTTGAGTGATTTCAGTGGAGATACCTGAAGTTCAGAAAGTGTTTTCTCAGCAACCCTGTCAATAAATGTATCATGAATACTTGGTTCTATTAACAGTTTTCGTTTCTATCTTTTGTTGTTTCTAAGTTTTTCAGAATTTACATTGCCCATTTCTTGTTGACTGTTGTCTGCTTAATTAATGGAGATTTTATCATATCAACTATTCATTCTAATAATTCTAGCGTTCCTGCTGTATTCCAGCATCTCTGCAGTACTGACTCCAGTCCTGAAGCTTGCTCTGTTATACAAAATTTATCTCTTATACTTGAATCTCTTTTCCTTTATAGTCTTGTCATGGTTAATGTAGCTTCGACAAGCCTTTGGTGGTTTGGTGGTGAGGTGGTATACCTGTGACTACCTGTGAGGAGGTGCTGTCAGTCTCGGTGAGCCTGTGACTGTAATCTGTGAGCATCACCATGCTTCTCAGTCTGCCCTTTCCCCTCACTTTGGCAGACTAGGCTGTCTACAGTGGCCTTGAACTGGCTATTTTTTGTCTTCCACCCAGGAAGCCTTTAGTGGAAAGCTAATTAAGTTCCCCATCTTTTGCCAGTAAATATCAGACTATTAACTGGGAAATTCTTAAATATTTGGAAACTAAATAGCATACTTCCTAATAACCTAGACCAAATAACAAATCCCAAGGAACATTAGGAAATAGTTTTAAGTGAGTTAAAGTTTGTACAGTGTGTCAGAACTGTAGAACATGATGAAAGCACATTTGGAGGAGTTTTATTGTATTGAACAGTTAGATTCGGAATGGAGAACAGCTTCCCTCAAGTTAATGATATCAGCTTCTTTCTTAGGAGTCTAAAAACAAAAGATAAGTTAATCCCAAAGTAGGATGCATAAAGAAATGGCAAAGATAAGATAGGAATATGGTAGATAAGACAAAGAAAATTCAATAGAATGGAAAAAATGTGGAAGAAGGCTTTTGCTAATGGTGGCCTTGTGTCCTACCTCAGCTGTGATGTTTGTCTGCCAGTGTGTAAGTTGGAATTCTTCAGAGTGGACACAGCTGCTGTTACTTTAGTTACACCATAGAATTTTTTTTTCAGTGAATTTTCATTGTTTTATACAGCATATATACTGAAAATATCAATCAGAAGTACTCATAGTAAATCTATGGTATTCTGGTGGTCAGGTGCTGGGTGTAGTGGTAATTACAGGATTCTAGAAATGTGAGTTTGTGGTCAGCCTGGGCTATATAGACCGTCTCTAAAAAAGTATATAAAGTATACCTGTGAAAATTGTTAGCAAATGCTTCTCCCCTTGAGAGCACATTATACAAAGCAGAAGATAGTAGCATTGATCTCTTTTTTTTTGTTTTACAGTTAAGGACAAAGAAATTTTGCAAAATTACAACCAGTCGCTTGAAAAGTGGTCTTTCTCACAAGCTGTCACTGGTCTGATTGACACAGGAAACATATCTGAAGCTGAATCTCTGTGCACTAAGGTAGTATTGTGGAGTTACACATTGAAATTCATGCTTTTTTTGTCTTAAGTAAAACTCTAGCACATAGTACTTATTGAGTGTAAGGTGTTGGTGATAGCAAGCAGCATTCATTGGCTGCTTACTGCAAGTCAGTCCTTCTGTTTGGCGTTACTTTTTCTGGGCTTTACAACAATTGGTGATGTACATGTTTATGATTGTCAACCTTTTTATGAGTGAGAAAATTCATTTTTAAAGAATATTAAGTATTTGCCCAGAAGCTCTCAGCAGCTACAAATGTATTGCTACTACTGTACTGCTTCTAAACCCTCATCATCTCTTTGCAAAAGAAATGTTATTTATTTATTATTAATGTGTGTATATGTATATCAGTGTATGAGGAGGTCATGGGGTATCATATATCCTGGTGCTGGAAGTATAGGCAGTTAGCAGCTGCATTGTATGGGTGCGGGAATACAACTCCAGTCCTCAACAAGGGCAATATGCTCTCTTAATCACTGAGCTATCTTCCCAGCCCTCTCCTGGACTTTGTATAGACCATTTATTTTGCTTAAGGTGTTATTCCTTTGCTTTATGGTTACTCCCTTTAGAATACTGGTCTCAAGAATGTGTTCACTTTTCCAAGTTCTGAAGCAGTAGAATGACTGAACATTGCTGATTGGTGACTAGAGCCTCTTTTTTTTATCAGCATGGGCTAGGACTACGTGGCTTTCTGATGGCAGGTTTTATGGGTAGATTGTTAGCATCTTTCCCTCCACATAGAGTGGCTCAATAAATATTTATTCAATCAGTTAATCAGTTAAAGGTTTTATGGACCTACTAAAAAGAGGAGCTTTAAACATGGCTTTTTTCTGAATGCTTATGGCTTATAAATACCAGAGCGAGTTATGTTGTTCTCTTAGAAATGGTTTTTGAAAGAGAAACAAATTTTACAGAGAGATAAAAATGGTCTTTAATGATCCCTTTTGTCCTTCAATACTTTGAAAAGCAGAATAATATATTTTCTCTTTCATGTGAACGATTCTATCTGTTCTAAGTCCAGGATAGTGTATTAACTATATTGTGGATGCTAACTAAGCATAAATTAGCAGTTGTAATGTTTTTTCTGCTAGAATGAGGAATGTTTTATGAGTCTGTCCTTTTCATTTTATAGTTTTAGTCTTTCTTATGATAAAGCCTTGAAATACACTTTAGATGTATATTGGACTGTGATCTAATGAGAAAAACAATAGATAAATATTCTCTGAAGAGAAGCAGCACAGAAGAGTTGACTACAGAAGAGTTGGAAGTTTGCCAGCCTACAGAGCTGACACTTGAGATGAAAATTCTAATTATTCTGATATGATCATAATGTATGAACTATATTATGTACTAAGTTATGACACTATACTTCATAAGTAAATACAAATGTTATATTAATCATTCAGTATGGTATGTTCCACTGAAGGAGTGATAACCTTTCCTTTTTACATTTCTTGGGTGAGTTTTACATTCAGGACTTAGTATAGAAGCTGAGAATAAACTGATTCAACAGGGCATATTAAAGCTAAATTCAGTGACTCAAGCACTACAACACTATTACTCATGTGAAAGATATGGTATATGGTATATGTACGCTTTGGTATTCCTAGGCTGTGTAGCCTTCTGTTTATTTAACTTTAGTACCTGTTTTTGCTATAGCCAAAAAAAAAAAAAAAAAAAAGGTTTAAATTAAGGGGAATAAAATCTCCTAGCATGGAGCACAGTGTAATTGCCTTTTATTTATTTCAGTTTAGAGCCTATTTGATATGTTTCTCTTTGAAATTTAATTTTTAGAATTTAAAAAGTAACCCTGATCAGCCAGCTGTTATCTTACTGTTGAGACAAGTTCAGTGTAAATCACTCCTGGAGTCACAGAAGCTCCTCCCAGATGCTGTGCTAGAAGAACTGCAAAAAGCAGTCATGTCCAACTCAACCTCTGTCCCAGCATGGCAGGTGAGTTCTCTGCTTTATCAAAATATGCTGTGACGCTAGTTGAGGAATATCCTTTATCTCTAGTTAAGTCTTGCTATTAGGCTATATTTACCAGTTTCCAAATCTGTAGAGTATTTTGGAAATTTAACATTAGTTTAGGATCTGTTTTTATGTATTAAGCCATTCTTAATTTTTTATTGTAAATTTCCTAAGATGAAAACAATGGCAGAGCCCTGTCTTTTACTTTGAGTTGATGTAACTGAACTACATGTTTGTTCTTATAATAAGGCCACTGTCTTAATTATTTTTCTTGCTGCTTTGACTGAATATGTGATAAAAGCAACATAAGGGATGGGGGTTATATTGGCTCACGGCTCTAGGGTGGTTTGAATGAAAGTGTCTTTTTTGAAGGCTTGGTCTCCTGTTGATGGCAGTATTTGGAGATGTTTGAAAAATGTGGCCTTGCAGGAAGAAATGTGTCTCAGGGGTTGGCTTTGGGAGTATGTGGCCTTGGCTCATTTCTGTTTTGCTCTCCCTGCTTCCTGTTCCTGTTGCCATGCTTGTATCCAGCTGCCACCATCCCTGCCATACTGCAGTCTGCCCTTCTGAGACTGCACCAAAATAAACTCTATTCTGAAAGTCACTTTGGGTCATGGTGTTTTAGCACAAGAACAGAAAGTAACTAATACAGACTGTAGTACCAGAGTGTGGGCAATTGCTTTACAGAACCTGATCTGCTGAAACTGGTAGATGTGCTGAAACTGATGCAAAGCACGGACAGTTAAGGAAGAAATAATACCAGTTCTGCTCAAGATTTTCTTGAAAATCAAAGAGATGAAAATGCTTTTGAATATATATAATCCATGAATCGAGATTTATTCCAGTACAAAAACCAGAGACATTCCAAGACCAGAAAAGAGCTGAGCAGTGTCAGTTCCAGCATCCATGAGGAAATTCCTAATAGAACCTTAGCATTTATACCCAACAGCACAAGAAAGATAACGCACTACACTCAGGTGGGCTTGACCCACACACGTGAACATGAGTGCAGTTAAAGATGCCATTCATGTGAAACTATAGAATGTGAAATCTGAGTGATATTTCCCAGCAGCAGAGGATAAGGGAGATTTCTGAGGGGAACAGTCTTAGCAACTGGGCTAGTGATCATTCAGTTACATTTTTGCTAAGTATCCAGCTGCTTTTTGCCCATGTCCTTGAGAACTTACAGGAGGTACATGAAAAATTAATGAAAAATTAATCAACTAATTTCATTAATGCAGAGCATTTCAATACTATACAATACTGAGTCAGTGGAATGGTTATTATTAATTACTCCTTGCAGGTCTACAAAGAAAAAAAGCAAATGGACAGAAAGAAATAAAAAAATGAACAGTTTGGAGAGAAGAGGAACCCTAGAAAGCTTAATGTTATAGCCAAGTCATTTCCTAGAAAAGGTTCTGGCTATGAAAGAGATTAGGGCCATCAGAGAGACTCCTCCTGCTTTACTCTGCAACCAAAGAAAGGATGGCAGGCCCAGACCCACCGGGCTAAGGTACCATCCTGCAGGAAGAGCACCTAAAGGGCAGCCAGGCCCTGTGGGCCAATATTTAGCATTATAATAGATAGCAAGAGACCAAACCTCAGTGCATCTGCACTCTTTAAAGCTAACAGAGAAGCTGTGATTCTAACTGTTGTCATTTCTATTTAGCTTTAACTAGTTTTGAACTTCATAAAAATGGAGTATTCATTTGTATTTATTTTAATTTAATAGTATTTATGGGAGAAGTCTATTGTTCTTTTGTGTGGCCAAAGTATTTCTTCATCTCATATTGTTGTTATTTTGAGTTATAGTGTGTAATGGAACAACAAGTGTCATGTTTTTCAATGTGTGTGTGTTGGTTTATACTTGCATGAACATTTCATGTGCTGGTGTTTCTAGATTGTTCTTTTTTTCATATTTTGTTAGATATGTAAGTAATAGTATGTTTTGGTTGTTTGAACTCTCATTTACCTGATGACTAAAGATGCTGAGCAACTTCTCAAATGCTATGGACCATTCAAATAATCTCTTTGAAGCATATTTCTGTAAGTTTTAAATTAGCTTTTTAAGGAGATTAATAAGATAAGTGAATTATTTATGAATTACTGGAATTCATCAAATTTTACAAATGTAATTGCATCCTATTAGTTAATATCATATATACATATATTTATATATTATCCAATCTGTGGAACCTCTTGGAATGCTATTTTATGTCAACTTTTAATATTGATGAATCATAATTTGATTAAGCAGATTCTGAGGTTAGTGAGAATGTTTTGTTTGTTTCTTTAGAGTGAGTGAATCTTGAGCTGGGAAGGTGGCTCATTTAGTACAGTGCTTGCTGTGCAAGCAGGAGGATTTGAGCCTGGATTCCCAGCCAGTCCAGCCAATCATTGCTCTCCAAAAGGCCCTGGCTCCACAGAAGAGGTGGAAAGTGATTGTGGAAGACACCTGATAGTTAATATCTGTTTCTGTGTGTGTACCCCTCCCCAACATGAACACACATAGTGCGCGCGCGCACACACACACACACACACACACACAACACACAGAGAGTAAAGTATTTCTGTTTGAGGGTATTTTACTTGCATGTGTGTGTGCTGTGTGTGTGTCTCGTGCTGCTGAGGTGTCTGGAACTGAGTTGCAGAGGGTAATTAGCTACTATGTGGGTACTAGGAATTGAACCTAGGTCCTCTGCAAAAGCATCAAGTACCATTAACTGCTAAGCCATCTCTGGCTCTCATGTGTAGAACTTTTGACCCAGGAGTCATAAGAGAAACTAGCCTGTAGTTTTCATTCCTGCAAATTCATTGCTAAGTATTTTTATTGGTGGTCCTAATTCTTTGTTTTTTATTTTCTGAAAACTAATGTCCTGCTGTGTTGGTCTTTAGTTCTGCTTTCTTTTCATGTTCCCAGTTTTTTCCCTTTTCTGTTTCTGTGCTGTATTTGATTTCATCTTAATCTGTTGATTTTCTTTTCCTGCCATAAATTCATGAGGCAGAATTTTGTTATTCTAATGTGTGGGGTTTTTTTCCTTTCTAGTATTTATGTGTGTTCACAGTATGCAGGTGTGTGTGTCTCTCTCTCTGACACACACGCACGCACACACGGCACGCACACACACACGCACACACACACACATGCACACACATGAATGTAGAGATCGAAGATTGATGTTGTCTTTCCCAGTTGTTCTGTGTCTCTTACCCAATCCAAAGCTCGCCGTTTTGGCCAGACATGCCAGCTTGCTCTGAGTGCTTGTTTCCATTCCTTGGACACTGGGATTATCAGTGGACAGTTATGTCTGCCTGGCTCAGTTTTGAAGTCTAGCTTTTACTTGCATCACAAGTTCTTTGCCTGCTGTCTAATTTGTATTCTAGTGTAGCATTTTCATTGCCATTTGTTTCAAAATGCTGTTTATCATTGGAATTTGTTTGAAGTATTTTTGAAAAATTTTAATATAAGAATATACTACATATTTTTCTGTTAATAATTTCAGGCATAATTCTGTTTAGCTAGATAATAATTTTATGATTTCAGGCTGGTGGTATTTGTTGAAATTTGTAGTCTCTGTGATAGATTTTTGAAATATGGGCTCACTAGCAGCCCAGGGTGTCCTGGATCTTGTGTTCCACCTGCTTCATCTGTCATTAGCCAACATGTCTGGCTTAAGATTTGTTTTTAAATTAAATTTTTTATTGGATATTGTATTTACATTTCAGATGTTATCTCCTTTCTCCATTCCCCAACCACACAGAAGCCCCCATCCCATCCCCCTTCCTCCTGCTTCTATGAGGATATGCCTCCACCTACTTACTCCCACCTCCCCACCCTCGAACTCCATCACACTGGGGCATCCAGCCTTCATGGGACCAAGGACCTCCTCTCTCACCTATGCCTGACAAGGCCTTCCTCCCCTACCTCTACAGCTGGAGCCATGGATCCCTCCCCATGCTGCACGGCTGGTGGTTTATACCCTGGGGTTGGTATTGTTGCTCTTGCCATGGGGCCTCAAACCCCTTCAGCTCCTTCAGTCTTCTCTCTCTCTCCTCCATTGGGAACCCCATGATCAGTTCAATGGTTAGCTGTGAGCATCCACCTCTGTATATTTCAGGCTCTGGCAGACCTCTAAGGAGACAGTTATATCAGGCTCCTGTCAGCATACACTTCCTGGCATCCACATCAGCCATCAGTGACTGTCTTTGGTGACTGCACAAAGGATGAATACCCAGGTGGAGAGGTTCCCGGACTGCCCCTCCTTCAATTTCTGTCCCACACTTTGTCTCCATATTTGCTCCCATCAGTATTTTGTTACTCCTTCTAAGAAGGACCAAATCACCCACACTTTGGTCTTCCTTGTTCATGAGCTTCATGTGGTCTGTGAGTTGTATCTTGGGTATTGCAAGCTTTTGGGCTAAAGCTCTCCCATGCTCATCGATTGGCAGGATTAATATAGTAAAACTGGCCATCTTGCCAAAAGCAATCTACAGATTCAATGCAATCCCCATCAAAATTCCAACTGAATTCTTCATAGAAATAGAAAGAGCAATTTGCAAATTCATTTGGAATAGCAAAAAACCCAGGATAGCTAAAACTATTTTGAACAACAAAAGAACTTCTGAGGGAATTGCCATCCCTGACTTCAAGCTGTACTACAGAACAGTAGTGATAAAAACTGAATGGTATTGGTACAGAGACAGGCAGGAAGATCAGTGGAATAGAATTGAAGACCCAGAAATGAACCCACACATCTACGGTCACTTGATCTTTGACAAAGGATCTAAAACCATCCAGTGGAAGAAGGACAGCATTTTCAACAAATGGTGCTGGTTCAACTGGAAGTCAGCATGTAGAAGAATGCAGATCAATCCATTCTTGTCTCCTTGTACAGAGCTCAAGTCCAAGTGGATAAAGGACCTCCACATCAAACCAGATACACTGAAACTAATAGAAAAAGTTGATGAAGAGCCTCAAATATGTGGGCACAGGCGAGAAGTTCCTGAACAGAACACCAATGGCTTATGCTCTAAGATCAAGAATTGACAAATGGGACCTCATAAAATTGCAAAGCTTCTGTAAAGCAAAGGACACTGTCAATAGGACAAAATGGCAACCAACAGATTGGGAAAAGATCTTTACCAGTCCTACATCCGATAGAGGGCTAATATCCCATATATACAAAGAACTCAAGAAATTAGACTCCAGACAACCAAATAACCCTATTAAAAAATGAGGTACAGAGCTAAACAAAGAATTCTCAACTGAGGAAACTCAAATGGCCGAGAAGCACCTAAAGAAATGTTCAATATCCTTAGTCATCAGGGAAATGCAAATCAAAACAACCCTGAGATTCCACCTCACACCAGTCAGAATGGCTAAGATCAAAAACTCAGGTGATAGCAGATGCTGGTGAGGATGTGGAGAAAGAGGAACACTCCTCTATTGTTGGTGGGATTGCAAGCTGATACAACCACTCTGGAAATCAGTCTGGCGGTTCCTCAGAAAATTGGACATAGGACCCAGCTATACCACTCCTGGGCATACCTTCTGGGTAGAAGATGCTCCAACATATAACAAGGACATATGCTCCACTATGTTCATAGCAGCCTTATAATAGCCAGAAGCTGGAAAGAACCCAGATGTCCTTCAACAGAGGAATGGATACAGAAAATGTGGTAGGTTTACACATTGGAGTATTAGTAAGATGTTAAAAACAATGAATTTAAGAAATTCTTAGGCAAATGGATGGAACTAGAAAATATCATCCTGAGTGAGGCAACCCAATTAGAAAAGAACACACATGGTATGCACTCACTGATAAGTGGATATTAGCCCAAAAGCTTGCAATACCCAAGATTTGTTTTATAACCCAACATAAAGACATATTTGGTAAATCCTGCATGTGTAGTTGTAAAACATGTGTTCCATAGTTGTTAATCTTTTAAGTAGGTAGTGTAACCAAGCTGTTGTTGTTTGTATCTTTTGTCGACATGCTGAATTTTTATTTTACTTTGCGCTAGGACGTGTGTGTGTGTGTGTGTGTGTGTGTGTGTGTGTGTGTGTGTGTGTGTTTCTTAATATGAATGTTGAAGTAGGCAAGTTGAAATCACCTGTTCCTGAGAACATATCTACTATGGTTTCTGTCAGCCTTTTCTCGTGAATTCTATGTTGTTGGGTATTTGTAAATGTAGAAACGCTTATGTGGAACGAGTATTGTGACAGTATCCACTTATTCTGTCCATGTGCTGTTGTAAAGACTACATTGTTGGATAGTGCTACAACTGCACAAACTTTCTTTTCATTAGTATTTCCATAGTTTATCTTTTTTTTTTTTTTTTTGCATTTGCTACTCTTGACTTGCCATCTTTGGAGACATTTAGACTTCAGCTTGATAGGACTATAAAAGGATTGCTAGCAGACTAAACTGTAGCTACCCTCCTTCTTTTGGGACATACTAATAATTGAATTAAAAAATTAAGTTCATTAGATTTTCTTGATTTTTTTTTTTTTTTTTTTTTTTTTTTTTTTTTAGGGAATGTAGACT